AAAAAAAAAGTTTTTTAATCTGTCTTTAAACTATACATTATTTACATTTTTAAAGACCTACTAGGTCTTTACCGTTTGGGTAAGAGCTCCAGGTGGTTCAACTCCCAGGACAAAGGAGAGGCGCTCCAAAGGCACCGGCTCTCATCCATGTGCTGAGGCCCTGTTTACAAACACATCGCTATTATAAACCTTTCAAATATAAAATTAGAATACTTCTTTAAAAATTTTTCCTTTAATTTTCTTTTTTGCATCTGGCATATGAAAAACAGACTATTCTTCCTAACTAGAGATGGCACTAAAAGAAAAAAATGTGTCCCCATACTCTTTTCACCTGGAATCAAGGATTTCCTTACATGGTGTCTTTTTCAATGCTGTGGGGAGCCATGAGGGGCAGGGCCATCTCCACAGATGGGTAAAGAACCAACTGGAGACCCCTCCACTCCTCCTTGAGTTCTTGCTGCATATTTTAGGTGGAGCTGGAAGGCATGAGAAAGGTGGCCTGCAACTTTTACACATCCAAGAAATTTTCCTTAAGAAATGTCATGTTTGGAATAGCTTCCAGAAATTGTTCAAGAACAAACAGTATTAAAGTTCATACATTACATTTAGAAGCACAATATATTAGGGGAACATTTTCAAAAGCTCAAAAAGAGGCTGTTTTTCCGCTGAGTTAAACAGTAAGTAAGTGAGCATTTTGTTACATATAGGTGTGTGTTCAGAGCTTTCAAAAAGTCACATCCTCCCACAATTAGCAGCCAAATGAGCATTCTTGGCCCCTGACCTATAAATAAACATTCTAATTCTGCAACTTGCTCACAGACTCTTAACAAGCTCTTCTAAAATGGAAAAGCCTACCAAATGGTTAGAAATCTGCAAACCAGAAATGCAATACATTTGTCCTTTTTTAACAACAGAATTTTGTATTTGCTTTTTGGAAAAGTGACTCAGAAGAACTGACACACATCTTCACATTTAAGAAATAGCCATTCATGACACTGAAGAAATAAAATCTTCAATAGGGAGCGTGTGGCCTCTCACAAAGGAATACAGCAGCTCTCAGCTCCCGCCAACGGACGCTTCCCTTCCCAGCTTGGCTAGGCTTGTTCACTCTTCGTCAGGCGATACATGACAAAATATTGGCAATCTTTCAAGGAAATGATTCAAAAGGTAATTTACAGTTGGCTGGTGCTATCCCCTAATGCCTTTTTGACTTATGCCCTAACTTTATGGAAACAAATTAAAGACATTAAGCCAGGGGTAAGTGTTCCATTCAGAATATACCTGGGCACTAGTGCTCAGGTCAAAAGCTATAGGATGTGGTTGGGTGGCCAAATAAAATGCCTTGCAGGGGAGTTCACATGTTTTTCTAGGGACAAATTTAAAACCCAGGTAAAATTGTCTATAGTTGAACTTGCTGTTCCATTTGGGCTGACAGAGTCTAACCCTTCTTGCTCTCCCATCTCATGCTTTCTACCTATTTACATCTATCATATTTACATCTGATAGTTTTCTTTATAATTTCCTCCAGATATTTTTTTCTAAGACATGTTTCATGGATTACAACACAAAGACCTAAAAGGAGGAAAAAGGCTAAGGAACATTAACCTCTGGAGATACAAGCATTTAAGCGTGCATATTTTTAAATTTACGCTGTGTATGGAATTCAGACATTTAATGACATGACAATTTAGGCACTTTGGATGAACCTTTCTTCATAATGATATCTGAATACTATACACTCCAAAAGTGATTGTTACCAGTCTTTGTTAACTAGTAGTGATAATTAATTTTCAAACCCTTTTATGTACGTATATGCCTGCTATCCCTTCGCCTCGATTTACATTAAATTTTCTAGTTATTTTTAACCATAAAACTCACAAAGTCCTAGGAGCAGACAATCAAAAAGAAAAGAAATTGACTGTGGGTAAGTAGCACGTTAATTGAAATAAGATTCTAAGCATTGCTCTTACGCCAATAGAAAGGAGGAAAGAACCAAAGGCAGGGGCTTGGGACATCTGCTTGGCCCCTGGCCGGAGGGCCTTTCTGGTGCTACCTGTCCCGCCCACAGACGGGACCGGCTGCGCCAACGTGTCTGACCCGTGTCCTCACCCGTGTCTGACACGCAGCGGGTGCTCAGTGATCACTAAAGGGACCACAGGCACGGATGCGTGGCAGTCGGCTGCGGCAGACTGCAGCAGGTGGACACCCGAGGGGATAAAAATTAAGCAGCTGATAAGGTTTTACAATCTAAATTCAAGGATAGCCATCTCTCTTCACTCTGTATATATACGTGTGTGTATATAACATTTATATATTCTCCAATTATGTATTAATATTTATATATTCTCCAGTTAGTGCTTGTGCTTGGCCAGACTCATAGCTGTGCAAACTAGCGAACACTCACACTGAAGCACACACCATCCCCACATTCTGATGCCAGCTGGAAAACATTTCTGTCACTTTGAACCAACAGTATAACCTTAAAATAAAGATACATCCTCCTGCACCTGTCTTCTGCTATAGCTTTGTACAGGTTAACTAAATGAAGTTGTGAAGAAATCTGAAGATAAAAATCCTGGTTTTAATTGATGTTAGCCCTCAGATTCAGCACCAGATCAGAAAAGAAAAAATTATAAAAACCACCTCCATCCCAATTTTGCATTTTTAGAAATGATTGCCCTGAAATAGCATGATAGGCCAGACAGTTTTTTGCTGCAAGCACTTACAGGCAGGATTTATGAATGGAGACATGTGCAGGCCATGCTGGCCAGCTTTGCAGGCCTATACTTTCTTCCTGGGCTATTTATAGAAAGTGGATAGTCAGTGGGAAAGAGCACATTTATTTTTACAAGCCAGCCATGACATGACCAAAGAACTCACTTCCTCTCTCAGTAAAGGTCATCTTCTTGAGCTGAGGGTGCAGCTGCAAGGGTGGGGAAAAAAGGGACCCCCTTTAGTCAATTAAATCTCCCTGAGTCAGCCCCAGAGAACAACTCCACAGGGTGACAGGCATTTCCCAGGCATGGCTCTATGATGCTGCTCCTGGAGATGTCATCTAGATTATGACTAACAAGTAAAAATAAAATGCATTATATAATATGCTTTAAAATTCTATGCTTTCAAAATAGGTTGTACAGAGATAATGGAGTGCCTTCTTATCATTTGTCCTACGTTTCAAACAGATGAACACAATAAAGTAAAACTGAATTTTAAAGGATGTGGCAAAATGGAGAGTGTGAAAAATATCTTTAAATCTGTTTTATTCTGATGGCCATATTACCCCTGAAATGTGTGATATACCTGGATAGTCCCATGCAAATTTGGAGACTTGGTAAATATTTGCTGATTCTAAAATATCACTTATCTTGACAGAAATCCAATATAATTTAGCAAATAACATACAGTTCCACAAACATCCCTGGTCTTGTGTAGTGTACATGGTACCTATTTGCAGACATGAAGTGAAGCGAAACCACTGTTTTCAACTAGAATGTTGTCAATATTATATGTGGTATATAAAAACAAAGGTAGGGTGGGAAGGGAAACGAGCCCTCAGGGACATAATGGGTACGGAAACCTCTGAAGGGAAGCTGTGGCATCTTAGCTCAGGCATCATCACTGGAAATGACGTGGTTGTAAGTTATCCTTCACCGGTTTCTTCTTAAGGACAAAGACACGGGCAAGAAGAGAATTCTGCTTGTGGACCCAACAAGAATTTTAAATGACCAATACAAGGGTTTATTTCTTGTTCTCAAACTTAATGATCCTTTTTAGAAGGCTGTCTCTTGAAAGTTCCTTCTGAAAGGGGAGGTCCTATTTTACAAGGAAGCTAGAAAATACTCAACTTATGTCTTTAGCTTCCAAACCAACACTCTTTGGGGCTCTAGAAGAGACAATAATGACATGCAAATAACTTTGCAGGTAGAAATATCCCAATTTCCACAACTGCCCTTGAATGCATGTACTGAATTAAGTTACTGGTGAAGAATGACATCCATAGTAGGCACAAATTCTCAGCCTCTGTAACCTAACAGGAATGTCCTTGCACATTGCAAAAGATGAGACACTGTCACCCATTAGCTAATACGCGAAGTGTATTTACAATCCCATTAAGAGGCTCTAAATTAAATATAGCCATATATAAACTTAACTTCTGTGTGCAAATTAACACACAAGCATATTGCTTCCTTTAGGGAACTGTGCCAACCTCTCGATTATAAGTAGTGATCAAAAGCACAAACAAAAACATCAATATTCTAGCCTACCAGTGCTGAGGTGACTGTTCATCTGCTTTATGTGCTTGATCTAAGTCATACCACAAAGCCAACACTTCCCATTTAGTGACTTATTTGGCTCCTAACTAGAAGGACTTGTCAGGAAGAGTGGTAAGTATTTGAAGTGTTTGAATACACTGCCTCAGTGGTTTGTGTTAATCTAGGGTTGTCATCTCAAGTACAGGTTAGTGTTTTATAAGAAATATCTTAAATAACACTGGCCAATGTGGTTGTGAGAAAGGATCTCAGGAACGTGTTCACTCATTTCTCCACGATTTGGGATGACCAGCGTTCATTACCACAGTCTGCATCCAAATGAGATTTCAATGTTTAACTAGACAAAGGTAATCTTATTTAATGCAAAGAATTCAGTTACAATTCAAGTAGTATGTTTCTGCCTTTCATAATATAACCGCCTCATTTATTCCTGAGTATTATATCTTTAATCAACGATAGATGGCACCAGTCTAGAGCAGTGTCCTCTCACCGTCCCTCACTAGGAACCACAGTTGCATGAGGAACCACCACCACCCATTAGTGGGTTGGCTCCTTCTAGTAAAGAAGCCAGATGCTCTGCATGTCCTGGTAAGCTACTTCTGGTGCTACCAAAAACTTGAAACCAACACCATCTTCCTTCCCTCCTGTGTGGAATGTTAAACCCTGATTTACAGTCAAGCAAGACAAAGTTTACTCCAACCGCTCTCCCCTATAGTTGAGGACCAGTCATTTGGGCATTGCTTCAAAAGGCACATTTATTCCAGTGGTAATTTAAGTAAGTAGAGAGGGAAAGAAGATCCAAACCAAACCAAACCAAACCAAAAATAGGGTAGGTCTTGTGGTGTACATTAGAGTAAGTGGGTGTCTGCGATCTACAGACCCCTGAGCTCCTCACCAGTAGTCTACCCAGAGTCCCTAAGGTAGATAATTCACATTTGTATCATGGCACACAGGCCTTCAGAAAACACTGTTTAGGAAGGTAGCTGAGAGCTCTCCAGCAGCTTGCCCTGCTGTCCAGTTCAAGTGTGTGCAATGCAGAAGACTGCAAAATTCAAAACTACATGACAAATAAAATTCAGTGCATATTAAAGGCTTGTGAAAATTCTGAAAATCATTGTATATATTACTATTTAAATAACATTTGAGAGACATTTTGAAATAACTAACTTGTTCACATTCCATGCATTTTCTAGTAGGTTAAGCTCTAGGCTTATGTCTTTGTGCCCGTTTCCTACAAAGCTCCATTCTTTTGACAAATCCACACATTCCTCAGACTGAAATGGAAGTACCCAGGGATTCTGTCTACTTACCCTCTTTAATGCATACCTGACCTCACAAGGGCTACTTGTTATTACCGCTGGCACAGAAGACGACTGGAAAATCGAACTGGTTGGAGTTTTATTTGGGATTTTATTCGTTGCCTTCGAAAAATCCCTGGATGTCACAGACACCACCTGGATTTTGTCCACGGGTAAAAACCAGTGGCCCTCTCCTCCCTCCTGTTTGACCGCCTTCCCTTTTCCGAAGCCCCCGCCCCCCCCACTGGACTTTTCCCCTGTGGCTCTGCAGCACCCTCCCGGAGCAAAGAAGGAAACACAACAAAACCGGAAAACAAACCAACGATAGCAACAACAAAGTACAAATAGGTGGGCAAACCAGCCGCCTCCCGCAGGGCTCACTTTTTACTGCTGAATTCGGAGCTGCTGAGGAACTTCCTGACGACCAGCCCCAGGCAGACCACCAAGAGCAGCATGTAGCCCACGGTGCCCGAGAAGGTGGGGGCGGCCGGCGGCGCCTTGAGGAACTGGCGCAGGCCCTCCTCCACGTAGTACACCTGGTCGTAGATGCTGAGGAAGGTGAAGATGTGGAAGAGCTGGTGGCTGTGGCCGATGATGTCGAAGAGGCCGGGCTGGATGCGCTCGGGGATCTTGCTCACATTGAAGAAGGCGGCCACCACCAGCCAGAAGTAGCGGCGGTAGAAGTGCACGAAGAGCGTGGGGTTCTCGCCGCGCAGGTCGAAGAGCCAGCTCTCCAGCATGATGGGGCAGGCCATGCTCAGCGGCATGACGAAGACGAAGGTGCGCAGCGCGAACGGGTAGGCGCACCAGTCGGTGCGGCTCTTGCAGCAGGCCACGGTGCAGGCCACCGCCAGCAGGAAGGCCACGGGCAGCACGAGCGCGCGGTAGGCGGCGATGAGGCGCGTGCAGTCCACGTGCCAGCCCAGGCGCTGCTGCACGTAGGGGGTCATCACCCTGGCGTCCAGCAGGCTCAGGCCGGGCAGCAGGTAGTAGTAGTAGGCCACGGTGCTGCCGAAGCCGTAGTAGCTGATGGACGCGTAGTCCAGGTAGAAGAAGGCGGCGCGCAGGCGCAGCGACAGGCAGCTGAACACGTGCGCCGTGCAGCTCATGGCGAAGGTCAGCAGCACGCCCGACGCGTAGCACCACAGCGGCAGCAGCCACGGGTGGTGGAAGGGCACGTCGCGGCCGCTCAGGAAGAACAGGCGGCAGAACTTGCTCAGGAACAGCAGCAGCGGGATGAAGTGCGTCCAGAAGTTGAGCGTCTCGTTGGTGGGCTTCAGCACCGAGGCGAGGCACTCCTGCGCCNCCTGCGCCGTGCAGGGCAGCCGCCGGTAGCCCGACAGGATGAAGCACTCCACGAAGTCGTCGGGCACCTCGTCCCAGCGCAGCAGCGGCTTGGCCGAGGCCGCCGAGTCCCCGGAGGCGAAGGGGTGGGGGCGCGAGGCCGCCTCGGCCGTGGCCGG